CATACAATTTAAGATCTTGTACATCTAAGCCACCTTCTATTGCATTTCTTTTCATTAATTCCCTTGATATTCTGAATCTTTTGTTCTTCCAGATTATTTTTGTTATTGTTTCTTCTAGCTCTATAAAATAATTTTTGGTAGTTTGATTAGTTTGGCATTGAATAAGTAATTTAATTTAGGTAGAATTGTCATTTTTTATTATATTAGCTTGGCCTACCCATGAGCAACTGATGTTTTTCCAGTTATTTAGATCTGACTTTATTTGTGGGAAAAGTGTTTTGCAATTGTGTTAATATAGTTCCTAGGTTTGTTTTGGCAGGTAGATTTTAAAATATTTTATAATGACTACAGTAACTTTAAATGGAATTTCTCTTTCTATCTCTTGCTGTTGGGCTTTGTTAGTTATATATAGAAATGCTGATGGTTTCATTTTATATCCTGCAACTTTGCTAAAGTTGTTCATTATTCATTATTTCATGTAATTTTTTACTTGATTCTCTAGGATTCTCTAAGTATACCATCATATTATCTGCAAAGAGTGATAGTTCAGTTTCTTCTTTGCCTGTTCCAATTCCTTCAATTTCTTTTTCTTCTGTTATTGCTAGAGCTATCATTTCTAGTGTTCTCTGACTCTTTCTTCTCGCACAGCTACCAACAATGAGTTAGTCCCTTGATGAGTTTTAAACACCCCATTCAGATGCTGTTATTGGTGCTGGTGAGCAAGTGTCTAAATAGACTCCAGATGCTTTGCTTCCCACATGCTGCTTTGTCCCAGCTCTGGTTGTCACTCAGGTGGGGCTGCCTGGATGTTTAGTTACCTAAACGCTGCCTAGGTTCTGGTTTGACCCCACTTCCAGTTGTGCATTGGAGATGGCTTGCCTGGGTGCTGACCTGTCCCCAGTTTCAGGTCTCAGTCTGTGCTTTGCCTTCTGCTATAATTTTGCTTCTCCTGTGAAAGGGTGGAACTGGGAGTGAGTGAATTGTTACACTTTGATGCTTTGTAATACATGTGTTTTTTGTAAAATAATTTTTACTATGCTATTATCTAATCTAATTAAACTGCTGCTCAGCCATGCCCTTGCATAAGGATCATTTATTTAAAAAATCACTCAGGAACTGAAAGAAAAGGTACATGAATAGTGTGTGGAGTGGAAGACATCCATATGAGTGAAATGCTGGCATCGACATGTACTATTATGAGTCAGCTAGGAGACACCATAGTGCATAGAGGGCTATCCTTGGAGTCAGAAAGACTCATCTTCCAGAGTTCATATCTAACTTCAGTCACTTACAAGCTGTGTGACCTTGATCAAGTCACTTAGCCTTGTTTGCCACAGTTTCCTCATCTATAAAATGTTCTGAAAAGGAAACAGCAAACCACTCCAGTACCTTTGCCAAGCAAACGCCAAATGTGATCACACAGACTTGGACATGACTGAAACAACGGAACAGCAACTACTTATGACTCAACTACAAGGAATGATTAAAGAGCATGTGACATAACCAAGGAAAATAAAGGGACAGGTAGATCAAATTGCAGTACTTCTCAAGGAAGAAAAGGTCAGAAAGACAAAATGGCCATTGGCATAAAGTCAGCTTATTTTTCTGCCCTTCCTCAGCCCTTGTCCCTGTTTTGTTCTGGTCACACCTCTCATTTCTTGCTGCCACATACATCCACTGGGGCCTGTTTGAGTCCAAAGGGGCCTTTCTGATTTTTTTTATTTTATTTTTTTGCTTTTTGGTGAGGCAACTGGGGTTAAGTGACTTGCCCAGGGTTAAGTGTCAAGTGTCTGAGGTCCGATTTGAACTCAGGTCTTCTCGACTCCAAAGCTAGGGGTCTATCCATTGTGCCATCTAGCTGCCCATGACCTTTCTCTTAAAGACTTATCCTAGAAACCTCTGTGTCAATAGCCATTCTTTCCACTCACTCTTTTTCTGTTTGAAAAGTCCTACCCCACCTCCTCCTTTAGATCAACTTTCCCACAATAGTTCTCCATTCTGCCCACCCTTCACTTCTGCTCTTCCCATCTTTTCCTCAGCTCTGAATGTTAATGGGCAGTGCTAATGGAATAGGTCTCCCAGCTTTGGAGGAGAGTCAAAGTATCATCCTAAATACCATAATCTCTCCTTGTTTCTCCTAATGCCACACATTTAGCATTTCTTACAAAGTGAAAGTATTCTAAGACTTTCACATTATAGTTTGTTCAGTCTCCCTGATCAATGGACATCTACTTGTTCCCCTTTCCGCCACCATTTTGCTAGTACAAAAATCCTTCTGGAATTTTTTTGAATAGAATCATAGATTTATAACTGCAAAGAACCTTAGGTGTCATCTAATTCAACCTCCTCATTGCACAGATGAAGACCTGAGGCAAAGAAAGATGAAGTGGTTTGCATAAGATCACATAGCTAATAAGTAGCAGAGATGGGTTTTGAATGTAGGTCCTCTGATTCCAGATCTCTTTCTGTTCCACCATACTGTATCTCCTTGAACCTTTTGGATATGTTGGAATAACGTTGAAGAAACTCTGGGCTTCTCATAACACTCTCATTCCTCATGATTCCTCAAAGATTAAAAAAAAGTAGATTTGAATTATGTCTACACATTACTGGCATGTGTTTCCCTGGTGACAGTGCATTTAAACACATTTAAAGTGATTGGAACAGAGCTAAAGGATCTAAGAGAAGACTTGATGGAAAGCAGATATGTTCCTGGGAGGGATACAGTTTCGCAGTCCCCTATGGAAATACTCATCCTAAGAGATGGCAGTCATAGAGATCCATTGACAGTGTAGCTAATCCATATTTAGAGGAGGGAATCAAATCGAGAAAAGAAGGGAATCATGTGATTTTCAGAGATGGTAGCAACCAGAGGCAAAGGTGGAGCAATACAAATTCCTAAACAAAACTTCCCAAAAAGAAGAAAAGATTGACTTGAATTCCAAAAGCAACATCATTAGAGAGAAGTAGGGAAATGAAATGACCTCTACAGAGAGAGGGAGAGCAAGAAAGGTCAGCCAAGACATGGACTAGCAATATGGACAACTACTGCAAGTTAGCTGGTTTGTGCTTCTCCAATGGGAAGAGGATTGACGTCCCAAGAACCCAAGCCTATTTCCCAAAAGATAAAGTAACAACTACAATATGAAGCTCTACATACATCTCCACTGGAGAGTTGAGGTCAGAGAATGAAAAGAGAGTTAGATTGAAGGTTTTTTGTGTTTCTGTGAGTCCTCTGTATATTTTATATTTTCTGTGAGGTGAATAAAGTTTTGTTTCTTGTATACAACGTGTATTGGTAACTTGAGAGTTGCATGGTGCCTCTTTCTGAAAAGAAGCTGAAGACATACAAATCTACAGAGACCCAGGTGTAAGTTACATTCTGAAGTTCTGAGGGAAAATGCTGGTGGGCAATAGGAGAGTCAAAGAAGCCAATATTCTGAGGTTGCAAAGATAACCTGGGTATTGTCATGAGACAAAGGATATTTTAGGAGATGATTCCAAGTCTGAATCCTGCCTGCGTAAATACAGAGCAAAGAATACTGGAACATGGATTACATATGGTTTTGAAAAGAAATAGAATAGTATCAAAGACAGAGCTCCAACATACTCTTCTAAAGATATTCTATCAATTTGATCTTTATCTAGTTCTACAGCCACCTAATAAAACTATCCTCTAGTCCACCTATTTCCATTTTATTCATCTGATGGTACATGTTAAACACTTGAAAGACATTGTCAAATACTTTGTTAAAATCCAGGCATTCCTTTGTGATTTCTTCACAATTACTCTGGTAAGTGTCAATCCCCTCCCCCCACCAAAAAAATGAGATTAGTATAGTGTATATTTTGAGAAAAACTATGTTGGCTGAATGTGATTACCTGTTCCAAAAATCATTTTTTTAACAATGCATTCTAGAATATTCTAGGAATTGAATTTCTCATTAATCTATAGATTAATAAATCTACCTTCTTCCTCTTTTTCAAAATAATAACAACTTCTGCATCTCTCCCATGCCATTCCATTTGCTGGGGTTTTCCAAATAACAATGAGAGTAATTTAACAACAGTATTCATGTGTTCTTTCAATATCATGGCATACAGTTCATATAGTTCTAATGACCTGAATTCAGTAAGGACAGCTAGGTACTACATTTCTATCTTCTCACTTGTGATGAATTTCAATTCCTTGACAACCATTTTTCCAGACTTTCTCAATCTGAACTATTGTTATGAAAACATGGTCTAACTTACTCAACTGTTATTGCATGTCACCAACCCTCAGATACACAAATCCTGAAGTAACAAGCTGAGATTCCTAAGCAGGTCTGGTAATACTTTCTTAACTCCATTCAGCTTTGGTTCTTATTTCCTGAAGATCTGACTTTTGTCTCAGGAGAATGTCCCTTCTGTCTAGGGATAGAAACATGAACAGACTGACTCACAGAGTCTCCAGGAGCCCTAAGTAAAGGAATCTATTACTAAATCAATCCCACACTTCTTACTTGATGTGTTCAGATATGGTCAGATAATATCCCTTAAATCAATTTAATACCAAAATGTGAAGCTTATAGATTGGAGAGACTCAGGGCATTGCTGTTCTCTCTTCGTGCTCCTCTTTTTCTTCTTCATCCTTCTTGTCCTTCTTCTTCCAAATATCCCTAACATTACAAGTATATCCTGCAAGAGTGTAGGCCACCAGAGAAACCCTCAATTCCCTTGTAAAGAAATTCCCATTCTCTCCCTTTCAGTTAATTCTCACAGATATCAACTAATTGGAACATCTTTGGAAATTTCTTTATCATTTAAAAGTTCTCTATCTATGAAAAGACTAAAACTAGGAGAAATGATACAAGATGGTAGGAAAGGGAAAGGTGGCAGGTGTGTGTGGCGGGTGGGAGGAAAGAGATGACCTTCTGCTTTACAAACATTTTCAATTCCACCACAAGAATATAAAAAGCTGAAGGCCTCCACCAAAAAGTCAACCAAACCCTGCCAACATGAACCGTCTTCTGATCCTGGCTTTTGTTGGAGCAGCTGGTGAGCTCTCCTAATTACTTTATATGCCTTACTGCTGCCTCTGGCCTATAGAACATTCTGGCCATTCTCTCAATCTATTCTTCCATCTTCTTCTTCAGTCATTGTTCTTCCCCACTCCACCCCACCCACATCTCTGTCTAGTTTCTCTGCCAACCTCTTCTAGATTCCGTTTCCAAGTCTCCCTTCACTTTGCTCACCTCTTTCTGTCCCTCTTAAGCACAAGTATAGGATCTTCTGTTAACCAAACCTCTGCATGCAGTGATAGAGCTGAAAATTTGTGCAAATGAAACTTTTGGGGGAGGAACAAATTAGGAAGGAAGGAAACAGGAGCAAGTGGGAAAAATCAATAGGTGGAAAAACAATAAGGTCAAAGATAAGAGAGAACCAGTGAATGAGGAGGCTAATCTGAATGGGAAGGGGCAGAAGAAAGGAAGGGTCAGGTTCACCTTCAAAGTAATGAAATGTGAGCTTCTTAAGGGAAGGAAATATTTCATTTCTGTCTTTGGATGCTGCAGATCTCACAAGAGTAGGTGCTTATTTAATGAGTGTTGATTGATTCTACTGCCTGTGAAAATAAGAATATTCTTCCCTGTTTTTCACCTAGAGAGCTATAATGTAGGAGAGCCCGTGTAAAATAAGGTAGAGCCCAATGCACGATGCAGACTGGGGAGAAGCTACAAGAGGCTGAGTTGACCTGAAGGGAGCAAATGAACAATGGAGGGCAGAAGAATGTCCAAGAGGATAGAGGACCCTGTCATCTAGATGGGGCTTGAAAGAGTTCTTAAAAGAACATGGATAAGTGAAGTGTCATTTATTACTTGTCATTCTTATACTCTTACATATGATTCTGGGGCTCCTGTCAGATTCCCTATTATTTAAGACTTGAAGAAACCAGGTGAGAGAAAGATACAGGAATAGAAAACAGAGAGACAGAGAAAGGGATGGACAAAGATAGAGAATGATTGAGATACATGGAGAGGAAGAAACAGGGAGAAAAACAAGGACAAGAGACAGAGACATATAGAGAGAAATAGAAACAGAGAAAGAAATACATAGACAAAGAGACAGAGCTATTGATTATATTAACCATGGTCACAATAACAATGATCTGGAGATTTTGAAAGGACTTTGTAGAAGATAAACTCTAGAAATCACTCCTAGGGCTTAGACTTCACATGCTGCTAAATTCTCTTCATCAAATTTGCCCCCGAGTTGCTTTCTCCACTGATGATGATGATAAGGTCATTGGGGGCTACACCTGTGAGGCAAACAGCCTCCCCTACCAGGTATCCCTGAATTATCTCGGCCAACATCTCTGCGGTGGCTCCCTCATCAATGACCAGTGGGTGCTGTCAGCTGCTCATTGCTAGAAATCATAAATGATAGGACTGGGGCTGCCCCCAGGGTGGGTTCCACAACCAGCTAGCTATGGTACCTTTTAGAGATGTCATAAAGGAAAATGGGTACAATTAGGGTTGAATAGCAGAAATTCAGAGAATGTAGATTCACCTTGCATACTGCAGACTGGGACAAAAAGAAGCAAGGTTAAGGTAGGAGTGAAAACAGGATAATTCATAGATTAAGTTTGGTAAGACATGGCTCAAAATGAATAATACAGAGTAAGCAAAAGCCCAAAAAGTTGGGGGAAAAGCAGAGTTTTCAAAAGTCTAGGAATAATGTTTCATTCCTCCATGCCAAATTATCACTAAGGCAAGGAGTGGGAAGGTTGCAACATCCACACCCATCCTTTGCATTTCTTCATAGAGCAGGATTGTAGCCAATCCTACTGGACACATGGAGACACACACACGTCACCTGTAGGTATTCCCATCGTGCATTACTCCCCACTTCCCATGTCATCCCCCAAACTCCACTGCAATCTGAAGTCTTGGGTCACAACCCTATATTTGCACATGCGTACACACACACACGCAATACAATTTTATGATATACATTATTTATATTACATTTAAAATGATCCAAGGTGTACGTAACCCTAAGCAGAATGTCCACCCAGTTCTTAGAAAAGTACCCTTTTTGACCACATCCAGCATCAAAACAAAAGTATATTTTCATCAGCCAATTTCACGTGAGACTGGGGGAGCATAACATAGAGGTCTTTGAGGGAAATGAGCAGTTCATCTACTCAGAAAAGCTCATCCCCCAGTCAGACCATAACAAAAAGACCTTCTATAACAACATCATGCTAGTCAAGCTGAAAACCCCAGCTGTCATCCATATTCGTGTGACTACCATCTCCCTGCCCAAGTCCTGTGCATCTGCAGGAGCTAAGTGTCTCATCTCTGGTTGGGGCAACACGGAGCTATGGCGGTGAGTAGTTCTGCCTGTCCCAAACCTTTGCATTAGATTAACCCCCCACCCCCAGACCTTAGGTCAGCTTCTCCCTTCTTCCTGTTCTCTGTAGTATGCCCCTACCTTTCCACCCCTTCCTGATCTCAGAAAACCCATGATAGAAATAAATACTTCTTGGATGCTGAGAACAATCAATATAGAAAAATTTCAAGGATCTTTTTCCAAAATTTTCATTTCTTTTGACTATTCCACTAACACTAACCTACCTCTGGGGGGCTTCCACACCACTCCCCACTTCCTTTTAAATGTCACATTATTTGCAAAGTAGAAACTTTATGAAGGAATTTGAGGAAAGAGTAAAATTAGTCAAAATGACATCTGGAAGCATTTAATAGTCAAATTTCAAGATATGGAGATATTCTCTAACTTTTTTTGACCTATCTCTGACATTCTAGTCTCACCTCTGACTCACCTCCTTTCTCTATGTTTGGATCTATTTCCTAACACCTGTCAGGTTAGACATAGCCAGCTCTCTCTTTTTCGGGGGCAGCTAGGTGGTACAATGAATAGAGTGCCATGTCTGGAATCAGGAAGACTCACCTTCCTGAGTTCAAATCAGGCCTGTGACACTTACTAGCTATGAGACCCTGATCAAGTCACTTAACTCTATATGCCAGTTTCCTCAAATGTAAAATGAGTTGGAGAAGGAAATGGCAAACCACTCCACTATCTTTGCTGAGAAATCCCCAAATGGGCACACAAAGAGTCAGAGATGACTAAAATGGCCAAATGTGAGACCCTGATTAATGGTAGGTACTAAATATAATTAATATTCATACTTTTTCTACCAGCACCACACAATTCTCTATGTTCCCTGGTACCTGTTACCCCAGATTCCCCCAAACACTACCAACAGCATACAGGGTTTTGTTGTTGTTATTGTTTCAGTCATAACTGACTCTTTTTTTATTTTTTTAGGCAATTGGGGTTAAGTGACTTGCCCAGGGTCACACAGCTAGTATGTGTCAAGTTTTTGGTCTGAGACTGGATTTGAACTCAGGTCCTCCTGACTCCAGAGCCAGTGCTCTATTCACATGCCACCTAGCTGCCCCATAACTGACTCGTCGTAACTGAGCCCATTTGGGGTTTTCTTGGTAGAGATACTGGAGTAGTTTGCTATTTCCTTTTTCAGCTCATTTTATAGATGGGGAAACTGTGGCAAACAAGATTAAGTGTCTTGTCCAGGGTCTGCCACACAGACAGGAAAGTATTTGAGGCCAGGCATGAACTCAGGAAGTGAACTTTCTGACTCCAGGTCTAGCACTCTATCCACTGTGCCAGAAAGCTGCCCTCATGTACAGGGTATCGTGCTAGAAACTTATTTTATAGTTTTCCAGAAGTCTATTTTCTATTTCCAGAGACACATGTTAAACTTGTCAAAATTGTGAATACCTTAAATACGTACTAATAATTACATGCTATTTCCAGTGAGAGTAAGGACAGGGCCATCTTATTGTAGTTAATAATTTGGCCTCATACTAAGACTCCCTCATCAAATATGTTCAGGTGACTGTTATGCTCAAGGCACTATGCTTGTGTGCTATGGAAAATACATGGGCATGAAAACTGAGTTCTTCCCTGAAGTTGGTTATATTTTAGTAGGGCTAAAGATAGAGCCTAGACCAGTGATTTCATTGCAGTAGGGAGCTCCACAGAGAGATGACTCCCTCTACCACTGCAGAGCAGATCCTTCTCTGTAATTTAACAGTCTTAGAGAGAATTGCTTACAAAACTAAGAAATTAAGTGACCTGCCCCATGTCACATAGCCCATATGTACCCGAAATAAGATTTAAATGTAGATCTTCCTGGTTCTAAGGCCATGTCTCTAACCATTAGGCATCACTGACTTTCTACAGTCTAGGAGAAGGGATGAAACAATGACACAAATGATCATCATACAGAGAAGTATGAGATGTGTCATGAAAAATATCTGGAAATTATAACAGTTCATAAGAAGGAGAGATATAAACTATTTTCTCTTTTCTGTACTAAAGTTCCCAAGTCCCCTTTGCCCAACTCTGATCTTAGGATTTAGCACTTTGTTAGGTAGGCTGTGCTTCCTTCTTTAGTGTGACAACTGCTCTGATCCTCCTCCAAATCCCATTCTCTTCACAGTTGACTACCCAGATCTTCCGCAGTGTTTGAATGCTCCCATTCTGTGTGATGCCCAATGTAAGTCCTCCTATCCTGGTCGGATCACTGAAAACATGGTCTGTGCTGGCTTCCTGGAGGGTGGCAAGGATTCCTGTCAGGTAAGACCCTGCCTTTCTATAAGCAGAAGCTTTCATAAAGCCCAACAGGGATTAGGGTTTGGAGAAAGGTCAAGGTCTCAGAAAAGAAAGAAAAGAAGAAAGATGTCCTTACCAGTACCTTCTCAAGCACCTCCAGATGAGTTGAAGGGGTCTGAATGGGAATAGTGTTAAAGAGCTGGAGGGACAGGAATGGTCGATGGAAAACGATGTTTCAGAAGGACTGGATGACCATAAAGTCAGGGATTGGGCTGGATGGGATGACTTCTGAGATCTTTTCTAAGTCTGAGTTTATGAACCCAAGCTTCACATTAAGGTGGGGGCTGCAGTCTCTTCCTTTCCCTCTGCTCACTCATCCATGTTCTCCATTCCCAGGGTGACTCAGGTGGCCCCGTGGTGTGTAAGGGACAGTGCCAGGGTATTGTCTCCTGGGGCTATGGCTGTGGCCTGAAGAATAAACCTGGTGTCTACACCAAAGTCTACAAGTACCTGGACTGGATTAAGGAAACTATTGCTGCCAATAGTTAATGACACTCGACCCATGTTTCTGTCCCTTCCTTTGGTATTCTGTGTTGGGACATGATGCCAATCAAATGATGCTCTATTACTTGCTCTTTTCTGTGCTTGAATTTCAATTCCTTTTTCTTCTAAGAAAATGGGAATGTGTTTAGACCAAAATGTGGCAATACAGCACAGCCTGAAGGCAAACTCATGCCTCCATAGATCAATTTATGTAACTCCTTATATCTAGACAAAAAAGTGGCTCTCTCTGGGACAGGAATATTTCCCCTTGGTTAAAAAACAAAAACAAACATAATAGACCCATTTTTCCACATTAGTTGTTCATGGGTTGATTTTAACACCAATCTTTTATGCTCAGCTACAGAGGAATTAGTGGTATTAGAACCCTGCCAGGTTATCATAGGCAAACTGGAAGATATCCCTAAAATAAGCCTATGGAGGTAAGGCTATGGAGAGGCCATCTACCCTTATTGCTTCTTCCTGAAACTATTTACCAAAGTACTGTCCTTGAGTCTCTCTTCTTCATTTTCTACATCTTCTCCCTTTTCAATTTTCTATTACTTTATTCCTTCAAGGTTCACTTTATTGACTACTACTGGACCCTAGGCTGGGGGATAAAAATCTTAGCTATGACATGATCCTTGGCCTGTAGAGTTTACAGTATAGAACGGAGATAGGAAACAAATGAAGGCAACTAAAATATGAAATATTATGTAGTACATTAGAGAGCTGCAGAATAAACTACTCTAATGTCTGAAATTGTGTGATACTGGGCAAGATGTTGTACTCTTTCAGACCTTAAGTCTTCTCATTTGTAAAGTGGGCATGTTAATAGCACCCACCTCACATGTTTGTTGGAAGGGCAATGTGCAAAGTGTTTTATAAACGTTAAACTCTATGTAAGTGTTATACTGCTACCATCAGTGGGGTCAGGGAAGGATTTATGTAGGAAGTGATATTTAAATTAGGCTTTAAAGAGTAGAAGGAATTCAGGAAGGAAAAGAGAAAGAACAGAGGTTTTAGGGATCTCATGGTCTCTCCTCCCCCTCTCCAGGTACTGTGACTCCCAGACAAGGGGACTCCAAAAGGACAATTCCCACCTCTGAGAATAAGAATAGTGGCTTAGGGTAGTTTTAGCCTGGTGGTGATGAGTTGGTAAAGTCAGGGACCAGGAGTCTTGGGGAAATAGGTTCTGGATTTTCTAAGAAGGCAATATAAAAAGAGAGGGGTGAAGACTGTGAAGTACTTCAGGACATAGACAGCCAAGTTCCATGAAAAGATGAGAAAACAGAGAAAGACTGCACACTATATGACAGGAGTTAAAAAAATGTTAAACCTAGTTAGGAGGGATCTGGATTCAAAAGCTGGCTCTGATATTTAAAAGGTGTGTGAATCTGTATATGCCATTTAAATGGTCTAAACTTCAGTTTCCTAACCCATAAAATGAGGATGGTAATATGGTTATGAGGAAGCATTTTATAAACTTCAAAATACTCCTTAAATATGAGTTGTCATTTAGAGTGGTTGGAAGCTAACAAGAAGAGATTTTTGAGGACAGCAAGGAAGGATAAATTCAACCTGAAATGAGAGAGAACATAGGCTTTCCAGTGAGCCAGACAAAAGAAATCCCAGACTCAGAATGGACTGGAGTTAGGGCATGAAGCTGGAAGAATATATTCAACCTTAATGAAATCAGTAAGACTGTTTCCAAAGCCAGAAAAAGCAAACATCTATGAATTTATGTTCATCTTATTTGCCAACTTACATTGTTTGTAGCTCATTCTTCTCTGTGAATTTTTGTCAGATTCAATCAAGCCTGAATTTTGAAGACTGCTGAGATGCACGCCTGGGAGGGGGGAGGGAGCAGGAGAGAGGGCATATAGAAATGGCTGCATTCCTGGAACCAGTGGCATGAGAGGGACCCCCAAGTCCTTCACTAATGACAGTGGAGATGGATTACTCATGAGTAGCTTCATCCGTTCTTCTCTAGGACTCTCCTCCTACCTGTCCACAGTGTCTATTTAGTTTCCCATTCCTCCCTATGTGACTCGTCAAAGCACTCACATTTTTGATGATACAGCAAGCAAAGTCGGAAATAACACTGACCTTCCCCTTTCATGACTGCACATTATGCTTCCTGTGAGAAACCCCACACACAAGAAGAAATAAATCAGAGGATTGCAGTTCTTTGAACTAGAATGACTTCTAGAAGGATGACATGGTTGTCTACCTAAGACTCCTCAGTTATGTGGTTTGAGTACTATTTTCTGTAAACCTATATGAATATAGTCTGTCACTGTGTTAATTATGTACCAAGGGAGTTTAATTAGCTGAGTGCAACACATGAATTGCCCAACAAACAACATTCTATTTGAACTGCTAGGCCAGGCTTTGTCTACTCTCTAGTGCATGTAATGAGTACCTTCTCCACTGCTCACAGGGAAAACAGAAAACCTAGACTGTCAATCCCCTGGGGCCACAATGGCATAAAAACATCTTTGACTCATCTATCCCTGGCAAGGTCCTGATTTAATCCAGGAGATGCCATGGAACTTTGTTCAAAATATTAAAATATGAAATCTGCTGTTAGCTTTAAGCCTAGGTCCTCTGATGGATTACATTCTCTCTCTCTCTCCTTTTTTTTTTTTTTTTTTTTTTTTTTTGCTTTTTGGTGAGGCAGTCGGGGTTAAGTGACTTGCCCAGGGTCCCACAGCTAGTAAGTGTTGTCTGGGGCTGGATTTGAACTCAAGTCCTCCTGATTGTAAGGTTAAAGCTCTATTGACTGCGCCACCTAGCCAGATTACATTCATAGATTCAGAGATTTACTATAGTTTATTCAGACAATAAAGTAAAAAGGAAGCTAGGCTAAAGACTCTTGTGTGGCTAAAGTTGCCTTTACCCATCTCCTTTTCCTTACCTTTTGCCCATTTCCCTCCTAGATTTTTGGGTGAGGATGGGAAACAATCCATACCATATATGCCCACCATTTCTTTAAAAGAATGTTTGGAACTGATATGAACTACATGTTTTAAAATCATGAACCAAAAAGGAGAAAGCTGTTTTCCTGACCTCACCAGCTGAACAGAATTCATATTACCCAGCATTCTCTGCTTCAAGATCAGAAGGTCTGTCAGCTGTTCTGGCTTCCCCAATACCACCTTTTACCTCACTCCCAGGGCCTCCTTTAGACACACAGTAATAATGGTAACTGCCAAAACTTTGTTAATTTTTCTCTAGCTCTGGTAGAAGTTTCCATGCCTTCTTGTATTATCTCCATTAACCCTATCTGATCCCAGAAGTCCAAATGCCAAAGGCATAAAAAGTACAAATATTATTCTTTTTGTCCTATTGACTAGCTTCCTCCCCAAAACATGAAACTGCTTCTGCTACATTCTTTCCATCCTAGATACAGTTGTGGTAGACTCATTGCTGGTGATATGTCCAATCAATTCTATTTCAACTAAGGCTTTTGCTTTGTTTTGTTTTGTTTTTGTGGAAGATGTCCTTGTTTTTAGTACCACCACAGATTTTAAAAAATAGTGCAGAGTCACTGGGATACAAAAGGAAGGCTTTTAAATAGTCTGTCTAACCCATCTTTGCAGATAAATATACATTTTGGATACTTTTAGTCATTCAGTCAATTGTATCTGACTCTTTGTGACCTGGCTTGGAGTTTTCTTGGCAAAGATACCAGAGTGGTTTTCCATTTCCTTCTCCAGTGAATTAAGGCAAACAGAGGTTAAGTGACTTGCCCAGGGCCACATAGATCATATTTGAGGTGGGATTTGAACTCAGGTCTTCCTAACTCCAGGCCTGAAACTCTATCCACTGAGCCACCTAGCTGCCTCTTCTGGATACTTAATTAAAGTTAAATTAAGTGATGCTATTTATCTGCAAAGTATTTAGGGTATATTTTATTTGTGTATATTTCTATGATAATTCAGCTTAGTTATAGTTATGGGCAGCTAGGTGGCACAGTGTACAGAGCACTGCGCTTGGAATCAGGAAGGCTCATCTTTGTGAGTTCAAATTCAGTCTAAGACACTTATAGCTCTGTGACCCTGGGAAAATCATTTAAGCCTGTTTCCCTCAATTCCTCATTTGTAAGATGAGTTGGAGAAGGAAATGGCAAATCCAGCATCTTTGCCAAAAAAAAAAAAAATGGGGTCATGAAGTGTCAGACACAACTGAAACAATTGAACAACAATAAAATTCCACTTAGACATCATTTGCAACATCAATGCTTAAGGAACCATTTTCTTATTATTTTTTTTAAATCTTCATTATTTAGTTTCCACACTTTATGGAACCAACAGAGTACTGTGTCCATTCACCCCATAGACATGACAGGTACTATGTCAGTAGGTGCTAAATTGCTGAGATTAAATGTCATGTAAAAAATTAACTTGTTATCTTGTTTTTCTTGGTGGAACGCATGATATCGACAGGGTCATAGCATTCTGAACCATTTCTATGAGTTCCTCCGGCATTATCTCCAGTAACCTTTCTCTCAAACGTCACCTGTAGGTATTCCCATCGTGTGTTACTCCCCACTTCCCATGTCGTCCCCCAACCTCCACTGCAATCTGAAGTCTTGGGTCACAACCGTATATTTGCACATCCTGTCTATGTGGGCAAGTCAAAGCCTTACTGAGCATTAATTTCCTGATCTATAAAAAGGTATAATAACATATGACCTGCCTGTCATATGGTATTTTAAAGGTTCAAATGAAATAACTTTGGTAAAAATGCTTTGAAAAGCTAAAACATTAAACAGAAATATGATTATATTCTTATTATTCTCATTATTATTTTATAGGGATGATTCTTGAAATCAGGCATAGAATCACACAATTATAGAATTTAAGAGTTGGAAGGGATTCACTTTACTCTTATTCAGCATGAAGATCATTCTCCTTTACAGAGAAAACATAAACAAAACTGGGATTGAGTAGTTTTCTTTCCTTTGACTACTCTGATTATTCCATCTATCCTTTCTTTCATTTTCCTATTTCATCCAATATAGTTTAAACCAACACCTGAGCATGAGGGTGCATGTGCACATGCACACACACCCACTCACACACAACCTTTGTCTCAGTTCATTCTGGGCTTTAACTCTACTGATTTAACTCTCTCATAGTAATACATGACTCTTCTCTCTTTATCTTCAACGACCTATCCT